GTATTCCATAGTCTTCCCACAGAATGATTTGGTGTCAAAAGCTGCGCCTTCTAACTTCTGCTGGAGAGGTGCAGCAAAGAAAGGTGCAGCGGGGGTCAGGAGAGGTGCAGGAGGGGTGCATGAGGCAAGCCCAACACGTAACCACATCTGATAGCTTTACATAAAAGCACATAAAAGCTTTGCATAGCTTCGCATTTGTTTTGAAATGGTTTGAAGTGTCTAACTTCTGCTGGAGAGGTGCAGGGAAGAGAGGCGCAGCAGGGGTCAGGAGAGGGGCAGGAGGGGTGCAGGAGAGGTCAGGAGAGGTGCAGGAGAGGTGCAGGAGAGGTCAGGAGAGGTGCCATGCAAGCCCAACACGTAATCATATCTGATAGCTTTACATAAAAGCACATAAAAGCTTTGCATAGCTTCGCATTTGTTTTGAAATGGTTTGAAGTGTCTTTCGGAAAGCCTTCTAACTTCTGCTGGAGAGGTGCAGGGAAGAGAGGCGCAGCAGGGGTCAGGAGAGGTGCAGGAGGGGTGCAGGAGAGGTCAGGAGAGGTGCAGGAGAGGTCAGGAGAGGTGCCATGCAAGCCCAACATGTAATCACATCTGATAGCTCTATATAAAAGCACAAAAAAGCTTTGCATAGCTTCGCATTTGTTTTGAAATGGTTTGAAGTGTCTTCCGGAAAGCCTTCTAACTTCTGCTGGTGAGGTGCAGGGGAGAGAGGCGCAGCAGGGGTCAGGAGAGGTGCAGGAGGGGTGCAGGAGAGGTCAGGAGAGGTGCAGGAGAGGTGCAGGAGAGGTGCAGGAGAGGTTGTATCATACAATATCATACATGTGCATACCATATCACACCATGCAATCCGCAGAAAACGGTCCCCAAGACGGCTCAACAAATTCACAAGTTTTAAACGCGAAAAACTACAAAAATTGCCAAATCGTGCCAAATCTGGTTGCCTGTTCCCACAACCCTCCAAGCCGTGCAATTGGAAAAGGAAGCGGCAATCGATGAACAATGATGAGCATAAATGAACAAACACGAACTCGGATGAAGTTAAACCTGGCGTTAAATGGCCCTGAATAAGGTATTATCAACCCCCAAGTTCTGGATGGTAGAACGTGGAGCTACAGGACGCGTGGCACCTTCGCCAAGACTCATGGAGCTGGGCTTGAAATCTCTTGTCGCACTCGACAGCAGTGGATTCGGCATCCGAGAGTCATAAGCCGGATGTCTATGTCTCAAAATTCGGAACCCCCCAGGTGGATTGTTTATATTATATGTTTTATATTATATGATGATGTTCAATCATTTGCTCTGTTGAAAATGACTTTTGTTGGTGCCCCAATATGGGAATGATATGCCGATATGCCCAAATCTGTTTCACAGCACGGATTTCATCATACCTGCGATGCCATACATGCATTTGTGAGCCAAACTGCTCCAGACGTGCAAGCGAAATATATTTCAGAAATTCTTTCACATACCCTCCCCTAAAATTTCAGTGGCCGAGGGGGTCACTATGTTGTAGCTGTAATGTGGTGTACTGCAGTTAGCGTAGTGTAGTGTGATATAGTTGTAGTTGTAGTGGTAGTTGTAGTTGTAGTGTAGTGGCAGTTGTAGTTGTAGTTGTAGTTGTAGTTGTCTATCTATCCATCTATCTATCTATCTATCTATCTATCTATTTACCTGCAAGCGTGAAAACGAAGCTATTGATTAGGATAGATTCGACCTCAAAATGATTGGCCAATGTCTGGTACAGTGGTACAGCACACTCTTCTGCCTCTGGTGCGGCGTAAAGTAAGGTTCCGGTGATGCTGCGCGCTTGGAAAACAGTGTTTCCTTCCATGCGTTCCTATTCTTTCAACTGCTGACAAAATAACGCTTCTGAGCTTGGCACCTACTAAATCCCTGTGGCCACACAATAAATCCCGCGTTAACATATTTAACAAAGACTCGGGAAATATTGTTTGTTTGCATCTGTTCCTATGTGTTCAATTACGTAGTGAACGTAAGCATTGCATTTACTAAATTTACTAAATCCCCATGGCCACGGCATATTCAATTTGACTGTGGCAGAGGAAAATAGGTTAAGAACCGATGATAGAATCACCTACTCGAGTTTGCCGCAAATATAATATCATGCTGCGGACCCCCATCGAAGAGAAAGGAAAGGATCAAACGTTAATGAAAGACATCTTCATTTTCCCACGGCTACATGTTTGCAATACATTGCAATACCAACTGATGCATTGATACCATCTCCTGCCATTCCTTGCGCCCCTAGGTCCTACCTACCTGCCTACATCTGCCTACCAAACTTCCCTACTGATTCATTCAGTAAATGAACCACCTTCCTCACACACCGGGGCTTGAATCCGGGACCCGAACCCGGGACCGAAACCCGAATCCGGGACCCGAATGCGGGGCCTGAATCCGGGACCCGGATCCGGGGCCCGAATCAGGGGCTCGAATCCGGGGCCCGAATGTGGCGCCCGAATCCGGAACCGAAATCAAAATTATAAAAGAATATCAAAGAATATAAAAATTGAACTTGAAGTTATCTCGAGATTCAGTCTAGTAGTCACTGTTCCTAATACATTTCCAATATTTTCCAATCCCCTATACAAAGACTACTGAATTATGGTTTCTGCATGGTGTTTCTTTGTAAAAAAAACACTCGTGGATTTACTCTCCATTCGCCATTTTAGTGAGGAAGTTGCTTTCCAAACCGTGGAATAACCATGGGATGTTCTGGTTTTCCCGTGGTTTCCCCAGATTTTCACAAAACTCACAGAGGTTTCCAACCACTGCAATGCACCAGCCGCGGGGCTGCCCTTCTGGTGCGGCTGCGGCCTGACTATGCTCCAGAATCTCAGGCCCCTCCTCCTGCGGCTTGGCCGTGATAAGAATCTACCGCGGAAATGTACACAGCTTGAAACCTGGAAAGCAGCACAAACCATGCTTGTTTTGGATTTCACCTGCCCCAAATGGCCCTGAGAAACTTCAAAAAGGGGCTCCAAACTGGATGCCCAAAGATTCGCCCAAATTTCTGCGCTTGTCCCTGACACAGTCCAACCAGTGCGGGTGGGAGGCTTGACACCAGGAGGGCGCCGAATGACATATTTGTACTCCAGTCTCTTTGAACTCGAGGATGCCTGCGACTTGGCGGAGTGTGAGCTGCGGCATTCCGCTGGCAAAAGCTGAATTGATGTGTACATGATACGACACAAAAAGGAACAACAGCTTTGAGACGGTCTATGCATACTTTGTCTTTCAATATATTTCCGATTCCTTCAGTATGTTTTTATAACCCCATGACATGAGAAAATCCCAACATATCCCAACCATCAGCCTCCTCTGGGGGGCCCACATCGGAGATGTCAATTCTCTTCCACAGGGGCTAATTCAACGGCTTCGGCACTACTGCCTGACGTGCCAGGGATGAAATGACTTGGGGAAAATGCCCCAATGTTTGGCCACTCAACCCATAGGGAAACTGATGCTCAACCCATCAAAGTTGGGGACGTTCCCTTCAATTTTCAGACAGCCCCAGTTGTTCCAACGAACTTTGCCAAAAGGCTTCCAACTGATGGAGATGTTTGGATAATTTTGGAGTGGAGCTTTCGGCAAGACCCAGGGAATTTGTGTGTTTTTTGATGAAACAACGGACATGGATGAACTGAAGCACCACGACAGCTGGCAGAGCCATAGATGAGTCATTCAATCCCAGAGGCTACCAAGGGGCCAACTAGCCATGAAAAAGTGAGCTCAAGTGGACGCCGGTGAACGCCAAAGGTGATGCAAAATCCGTCATTGGTTAACCCCTTCTGGGATGGATCAAAACCAAAACATATATGGGAGGTTTCCTAAGTCATGGGTACCCCCATAGCTGGATGGTTTATGTCATGGGAAATCCATCTATAAATGGGATGATTTGGAGGTACTGTATTTTAGGAAACCTCCATATGGAAATGGGCTGGGTTTGACAATAGAGATTTAATGACTCACTAAATCCCTAGAATCCCATATCAAATCCCCTTAACAATCCAGATAAAGCCTTTATAAAATAAATATCATATCAAATCCAGACATTTCGCAGATGTGTCATGCAACTTAAATACCCCCTATGTTGCCACTGCTCTTGGGTCATTGATGCATTTCATTTTGTGTATCAGCAAGATGGTGATAAGGAGTTTTATTCATTTTTCCATCCATCTTTTCATCCACTTCATCCAATGGCATCCAATCCTGCGCATGTGCAGGGGATGATCTCGCCTCAGGAAGGCCGTGGCGGTGCGAGGTGGAGCTGCAACAGGGCAGGGGGAGGCTTCAGCTACAGCACTGACGCGGCCGGCTCATGATCCAAAATGGCTTTGGGCGGCCCGCTAAATCTGATTGAAATCTCTTATCAATGGAAAAAAATGAAACACAATAAATGAAATTTCAAGGGATGCCCCCCCTCTGGACAAAAACCTGAAGTTCTCATGTCTTATTTCTTATCGCTAATATACGTTGTTGAATGTTTTGGTGAAAATTGAGCAAAGCCACTTCAGCCGAAAAAAATCACCTCAGGCGAGATTTCTGGAATCAGTCTGATTAGTAGACTGAATCACTCCAGACCAAATTTCTGGTCTGCGGGGGATCCGGGTATACATATATTATCATATATTATCATATATTATCATATACTATTATATATTATCATATATTATCATATAATATCATATTTATATATGTATATTCGGATGATATACGCATACATAACACGATATCCATAAATTTTAGCCTCTTGTCTTTGGAGGGGGTGATTTTGATTGTATATGTATAGGTGGGGGGGTATCCACAAATGAAATATTTCATTTAGACCCCCCCTCCCCCTCAACAGGGTGATGATGCTCCAGGTAATGCAATCGTAGACCTACAACAGGTACTTCTGAAACTTGAGATGACCGGGTATTGCATGGTGGAATATGTTGGAAGTTGAAGACGGACCAACCGGATGCTCAACGTTTGGACCAGGAATGGCCTCGGTCTACATGTCTCGGTCGAGGGAGACCTCTTTGGTGCTGCAAAAGAGCTTGGCTAGGCAGACAAAAGGTAGACAACATGAACAGCGTAGCGAGTCATATGTGGAGAGGAACCTTTTCAGTCCTTCAGCGACTTTATCCATTTTATCCCCAAAACGCTTGAGCATGCTTGAGCTTATCTTGCAGCGACTGCTACTGTTTGGATCTTGGTGCCTCAGATAGGATCCATTGTTTTTCAACTTTTCAAGTCCCTTTTGACACCAGATAGGATTGTGTCCATCGAGACTTGACACAGTTCAAGTTTGAAGGCCTGCCGACGTGCTAGCTGGCATGAAGCTTTTCTCTGGTCACTTGGATTTGTTCCGCGGGTTTCAGGACCACCTATGCCTGTGGGGGAAGCACACCTGAGGCTTGAACCCCACCTTCATTCGATCCTTAGCCAACATTACGGAGCGGAAGATGAACTTCTTGGGCGATGTTTTCAAGGAGCGGCGAGCCATGACAAATTTGAGAAGGTTTTGTCCCACTGAGACACATCACGAATATCCCATGCAGATCATGCAGTGTCAGGAAGAAGGAAGCACTGATCGAACGTTGCGACTGCTAGAATTCGGCAAAGTCCGAGTGGAGACTGCACAAAAAGGCAGGACATGTTCGAAATGAAATGCTTGGCATGTCAGAGTCTTCGCCATTTCTGAACATGTAACTATAAGGAACATAGCCAAATTCAGTCCTTTCTGATTTTTGATCCTTAATTTTTGAAGTTCCTTTCCTGCTGTGCGCCAGGATATGTTGGAATGACCGATGCTGGCACCGTGATGGGAGAATACATGTTCCTGGGATTACGCACTACCTCCCAGGCTGGGCGGCGCTGGGTGGCGCTGTGGACACCCTGGGCCGAATGGGCCATGCAATTTTCGCACCGAACGTCGCTCTGAGGCTACGTTCAGGGTTGCTACGCCCCTAGTCGTGATGCTATGGATTTCGCATCATTCCTTTGAGAACATTCTTTCTGATGGATATCCTTCTGAACCTTGGTTACAAAGGCCAGCCGTTCTATCCTTGAGAATCTGAGAACCGCTATATAGTATTATACATATATATATATATATAGTCTCATAATTTCTCATACACAAGAAGTGGGGAGGAGTGATGCGTCCTGTGGATTTCTACCTCGCTTCAAGGAAGCAGCATACTTTCGCAGCCTCGAAAAGACTGACCGTGGCAGGGAGGACATGAGCCACTATGCAACGGATTTGAAGCTTTTTCATGGCTGTGGCCGCAGCTCCTTGGAGTTTCGAATTCATCCGAATTCGTGTTTGCCAAGTTTTCTTTTGAAGATCAGCTGTCACAGCTTGTGATACTGGTATGCCATGTATGCTAGCAGATGAAGCAAAAGTTCAATCTTTCCTGTCGACGTGTTTAAGGCTTTATTGAAACAATAAGTGCGGGCATTTGCCGGCGTTCTTACAAGCCGGGCCAGACAATCGTGATTCAGAAGGCGATCGACACAGGATCGCTTTTTCTGGTAACCACAGGGAAGGCATCTGCTATGATCGATGGCAAGGTTGTTGAGGACCGCTTTAGCCGCTGAGCCCTGTTTCAGATTGCCCACAGATATCCACAGATCCAAGAATTGAAGGTTGAAAGATGTTAAAAGGTTTAATGTTTGGACAATATATTGTCAGTCTGATGATAAATCATCAAATTTGGATTTTGGGGTAACATGTTTCACACAAACACAGAATATGTTGACATCATATTGATCCAATTTGACCCATATTTAAGAGTTAAGAACTATCAGCTGATGCCCGGTGCCCCGCAGGAGCTGTCTCCTGGAGGCGTTTTCGGTTTCTTTGCTGGCAAGTGATGCATTGTCACGTGCATTGTCTCAGTCGCCCCAACAGCCCTAGCTGCAAAAAGGCTGTAAATATACGTATGTAAATATCCCAAAGCACGGGCAAAAGGGGCCCAGAAATGCGACCAGAAGCCGAGAAGCCGAGAAGCCCGACACAAGCCGAGAAGCCGCGAAGCCGAGAAGCCACCGGACAAGCCGAGAAGCCGAGAAGTCACCGGAGCCGCCGGGCAAGCCGAGAAGCCGAGAAGCCACCGGACAAGCCGAGAAGCCGAGAAGCCACCGGACAAGCTGAGACAGTAGCCCTGGCACCCCCTGTGAACACTATGTTGCATCTTCACCATCACAAGACATCAACTCCCCAACCCCCTCTGAACAACACGTTGCACCTTGAGACATCAGCCCCGCCACCCCCTTTGAATATATGTTGCATCTTCGAAGATCAACCCAGCGACCCCCTCTGAACACTACCTCGCCCCGTTATAAACTTCTGCATTCATCGAAGATCTTGAATGAGGGTTTAATTCTCCCCAGCCCCGTTAAATTTCTACATTCAGTGAAGATCTTCAATAAGGGTCTAATTCTTTCAGCCCCGTTAAACTTCTACATTCATCGAAGATCTTCAATGAGGGTTTAATTCTCCCCAGACCCGTTAAATTTCTACATTCATTGACGATCTTCAATGAGGGTTTAATTCTCCCCAGCCCCGTTAAACTTCTACATTCATTGAAGATCTTCAATGAGGGTTTAATTCCTCCCACCCCCGTTAAACGTCTACATTCATTGACGATCTTCAATGAGGGTTTAATTCTCCCAGCCCCGTTAAACTTCTACATTCATCGAAGATCTTCAATGAGGGTTTAATTCTCCCCAGCCCCGTTAAACTTCTACATTCATTGAAGATCTTCAATGAGGGTTTAATTCCTCCCACCCCCGTTAAACTTCTACATTCATTGACGATCTTCAATGAGGGTTTAATTCTCCCAGCCCGGTTAAACTTCTACATTCATTGACGATCTTCAATGAGGGTTTAATTCTCCCCAGTTTCGTTAAACCCCTACATTCATTGAAGATCTTCAATGAGGGTTTAATTCCACCCAGTCCCGTTAAACGTCTACATTCATTGACGATCTTCAATGAGGGTTTAATTCTCCCATTCCCGTTAAACTTCTACATTCATCGAAGATCTTCAATAAGGGTTTAATTCTCCCCAGCCCGGTTAAACTTCTACATTCATTGAAGATCTTGAATGAGGGTTTAATTCTCCCCAGCCCCGTTAAATTTCTACATTCATTGAAGACCTTCAATAATTACGGGTTTAATTCTCCCCAGCCCCGTTACCCTGAGTCTCGAAATCTAGTGATTTTAGTTTTTTTTGATGTTTTACTTTACTTGGATTTTTTACTAGTAAAATTTACTTTTGCCTGGTAAAGTAAATCCATTTACTAGCCAAGTTTTTTTTTGAAAAAAAATAGAAACGCATAAGAAACGCATATAAAGTGCATACTTTTTTCCGGATCATGTTGACCATGTTTGAAAGAAATATATGTTTTCATTTGTTTTTGTATTGTTTTCATGTGACACAAGTAGAAATTGGCTTGTTTTGAGTGTGTTTTATCTTGCGCAAGTAAATGGTTTTCACAAGTAATGCAGCATTTTTTTGTTCCAAGCTCAAATTCTGCCCCGTCCCCAATAGTCACTTTTGTTTCCACAGCCAGAGATGATTACTAAGATAAGATAGAGATGAAGGCAAGTCATCACATGTACAATGCATTTGATAACTTCTAGTCATTGTTTGGCTTCCACATCACAAGTAACTTTCGCATGTATGCGTCATTGTTTGCTTTTAACCTCACAATCTATTTCCACATGTAAGTGTCATTGTTTAGTTTGAATCCCACAAGTAATCTTCAACTGTAAGTGTTATTGTGGGGGTTCAAAATCACTCGTAAATTTCACATGTAGGTGTTTTTTCTTGGGTTTTAACACCACAGGTAATTTCATGTAATTTTCACATGTAGGTGTTATGGTTTAGTTTTCACTTCACGAGTAATTTCCACATGTGAATGTAACTGCTTAGTTTTTACCTCACCAGTAATTTCTACATATATTTTTTACAACCATATTTTTCAAGTCAGTCAGAAGTTTTTTGGGAACACAACACAGCAACAACGATTTTGAAAGAAAATCGTCGAATATGGCTAAGTTCCTAAATGTTTATATTTAGATGAAAATTCACATGTTGCTGACTTATATCTGCTTAGCCCAGCGCTGAACAACAACTTCCCATTGTGAAAATATCATATAGTACAAACCACAAGAAAATGAAAAACTGAAGTTGTTCAAACAATTATGCATTAGGGAATGTCTCAGAAATGGGGTGCCATAACCAAGTGCCCCAAACCCTTCTTATTTAACTAAAAAACATGAGCTTTGGGCACTCCTATTTTGAGACGTTCCCATTTATATCTTTGAAATTTTTTGAACGTGTTACTTGTGGAGTACTTGTGGTGTAATTGTTTCTCAGTTTGACGCTCATTGTTTTTCTGTGGTGTTTTGCTTGCAACATGGCTGTTGCATTTGTTGTACTACATGTGCCCCACTTGATAATTTCATGTTGATGTAGCCACTGCTGGATATAGATTAGCTGCCAAACAGATGAGGTTTTACCTCTGGCCTGTTCAATCTATCCATGGAAAAAATAAATTGATAGAACAAATCGTTTCTCCGGTTTTGTTCTTACTTGTGACTACTTGTGATACTATCTCAACAATATCTTTGTGTGTTAGAGTTTTTTTAATGAGACTAAGGTTGCCTTATTTTTTTGAAATAAACTCTCCAGAAACCAACTAAGGCTGCCACTTGTTTTGCCGCCTCTCCAGGTTAGTGACAAGCCTCAGGATGACGATGGTGCTGGGTTTTTGGAGCTGGGAAAATTTATATACAGCAAAACAACCCCCAAAAAAAATAGGAATAAAACAATATCAGATCTATTTTGGGCCATGACCAACTGTAGCAAATAAGGAATCATCCTTGAAAAAAAACAGTTTCTTTTTCAATTATTGTTTTCTGACTGCCAACGTCCATTTCATGTTGAGAACAAAATTCAATTATGGTTTAATTTGGTTTGGTTAGTTAAGATTATTTAGTTACTCATATAATTCCTATGTATTACTTGTGTCATTGGTTTTGTGTTTTTGTAGAAACATATTTTTGATATATTTGTTTAATGCAATTCTTGTGCACTCCTTATGCATTTTTTTGCACTTCTTTTGCACTTTACTTGTGAACGGGTTGAGTCTTACTTTTGGGCTCCTTCAAATACCTGTGGTACATGAGATTAAGCAAGCCTGATATACATGTGAAATATTAGTCAAATATGTTATATACTTAGGATACCTGAGCTGAGCCAAGGTTTATATCTTTATGCATTTTTTTTATATATCTACAGTATGATACATGAGAAGAATTGAGTCTTACACATATGTGTAATGATTTGATTGTGCATTTCCATTTCAGTAAAACCTTCTGGTTTTCAAAATTTTCTGATAAAAATTGATGAGCCATTCATAAAATTACAGATTTTTTATATGCATTTCTTATGCATTTCTTATGCACTTCTTATGCATTTCTTATGCGCTTCTTATGCACTTTTTAGAAGTGCATAAGAAATGCATGTACTTTAAATCAAAGTACATGTACTTCTTATGCACTTTTAAAAAGTGCATAAAAAATGCATAAGAAGTGCATAAGAAGTGCATAAGAAGTGCATAAGAAATGCATAAGAAATGCAAAAGAAATGCATAAGAAATGCATAAAAAATCATTAGAAAACATCTCATTTTTTCTACACATACACAAAACCAATGACACAAGTAATACATAGGAATTATATGAGTAACTAAATAATCTTAACTAACCAAACCAAATTAAACCATAATTGAATTTTGTTCTCAACATGAAATGGACGTTGGCAGTCAGAAAACAATAATTGAAAAAGAAACTGTTTTTTTCAAGGATGATTCCTTATTTGCTACAGTTGGTCATGGCCCAAAATAGATCTGATATTGTTTTATTCCTATTTTTTTGGGGGGTTGTTTTGCTGTATATAAATTTTCCCAGCTCCAAAAACCCAGCACCATCGTCATCCTGAGGCTTGTCACTAACCTGGAGAGGCGGCAAAACAAGTGGCAGCCTTAGTTGGTTTCTGGAGAGTTTATTTCAAAAAAATAAGGCAACCTTAGTCTCATTAAAAAAAACTCTAACACACAAAGATATTGTTGAGATAGTATCACAAGTAGTCACAAGTAAGAACAAAACCGGAGAAACGATTTGTTCTATCAATTTATTTTTTCCATGGATAGATTGAACAGGCCAGAGGTAAAACCTCATCTGTTTGGCAGCTAATCTATATCCAGCAGTGGCTACATCAACATGAAATTATCAAGTGGGGCACATGTAGTACAACAAATGCAACAGCCATGTTGCAAGCAAAACACCACAGAAAAACAATGCTCGCCAAACTGAGAAGCAATTACACCACAAGCAACACTTTTAAAGGTCTAGATGCATAATTGTTTGAACAACTTCAGTTTTTCATTTTCTTGTGGTTTGTACTATATGATATTTTGACAATGGGAAGTTGTTGTTCAGCGCTGGGCTAAGCAGATATAAGTCAGCAACATGTGAATTTTCATCTAAATTTAATATATGAAACATAGCTACTTAGGAACTTAGCCATATTCGACGATTTTCTTTCAAAATCGTTGTTGCTGCGTTGGTTCTCCCAAAAAAATCGTCTGATTGACTTGAAAAATATTAAGGTACATTTTATATGGATATGTCTCAAAATGAGGTGTCCGTTTTTGGTTCCAAAATGGCTACTTTAAGGGAAAAAAACGGACACCTCATTTTGAGACATCCCCATATGTAGAAATTACTTGTGAGGTCAAAACTAAACAGTGACATTCACATGTGGAAATTACTTGTGAGGTTA